GGGCGGGTGGCAGCCCCCATCCTCCACGGCTTTGCTCCGTCTCCCTGGTCTGCTGACCAGGGAGAGGGGGAGCAAAGCCTTGGAGCACGCCCGGGTTGTCCCGCTGAGGGCGTGCTCCGCAGCTTTGCTCCTGGTCTCCCTGCAGACCAGAGAGACGGGGAGCAGCTTTTCTCGCCCCGGAGGACGGGGGCGGCAGGACTGCAGCGCATCTGGGCGTCCCGCCGCTCCAGTCCTCCGGGGCGAGAAAAGCCCCATTCGTAACTGCGGATCCGACATAAGTCGGATCCGCGTAACTCGGGGACTGTCTGTAGTGTGTACTATTAAAACAGCTGCTGCGTTCCACAGGTGGCTGAAGGTGTTTGTGACATCCTTTGGCATGGAAGGCATCTTATAACAAGAGTTACTGTCAAATATTCACTTTATATAGGAATGCATCACTCCCACCCTATGACTGCTCCAGCACGTAAGTCCTGTTTAACACAAGCATTATAAAAGCACAGGAACAAGAAATTCTCTACCTACCAGACGATCAGCAGAAAATACAAAGTCCCCTCTACTGGCAGTCCTGAAAAAGGTAAGAGAAGTGTTAATTTAAATTGGAGAATAATTTTTATTTTGATAACATTGATAAATAATTGCAATATATTAATTCAAGGACAGTACATTTTACATAGGAGTTACCCACATAACTAATTTCTACTGGATAAAACTAATTGGCATCTCTTGGTGGGTAACTAACATTCAGGGAAAGTGAAGCTACTAGGCTGACACTTTGTTTTGGGTGAAACACTACAATGAACATGAAAACCTAAGATGACTGCTATGTAATATTTCCATGAGCAAACTGATCTTGCTTCCTTTCCATCCCCGTATGCCACCCAAACTACCATGTATTCATTGCCTGAATTTACTAACATTGTGCTCGATATCCTGCTTCCAGTCTACAGCCAGAATTACCACCAAAGGGGAGCAGTACTGAGCCTCCAGCACTGAACTAAGAATCCAACCATCTGACAGCTCCTTAAAAAAACTGAAGCCACCAAAATACCATGCAGAAGCACATTTTAGTACTACATGCAACTAGTTTCAGCTTTTTCGATCACTGGAAAAAGACTGCATTCTACATTTCCAAAAAGAAATTTTGACACTAACCCTATATTGAAAGTTTACCTGCATGAAAGTCAGGAAACTTGGTTAGTCCTCGAGTAACTGCTGACTTAGCCACATTCAATAAGTTGTTTTTAAAGAGACATTGTCAGTTTATCTTAATAGAATATTGAGAACACGGGGAAAGAAATTAACAACAATTTATTTAGTTGACAACAGCTCTATTTTTTTTAGGCTCTCAGTTATGCAGCAAACACAAAACTAATCATTTCTGATTCTCAAATTAAAAAAAAAATTGGCTACCAATACGTCTGCCCAATATTTCTCTAATAAACAAAATATAATTGTAATTCATAGAATTAAGATGGATTTTGATAGATGTTTTGTTCTTTGGTGGTATTTATTATTTGGAAATGGAGTGAGCAGCGAGATTGCAAACCTGCAGATGCCACTTCTAGGTTCTTCCATATCATGGAATTAAAGAGGCTCTCTAGCTAAGCTAAGTGATATAATGACAGATAAAATTCAGTGTTGACATTCAAAATGATACACATAGCTTCATTAAATTAATTATACTGACTTAGGAGGAGACTTGGGTCTCACTGGATAGTTCCATGAAGAACTCTGCTTAATTTGCAGGTGTGATTTAAAAAAAAAAGCAAGCAGTGTTTGACTGCATACGAATATGGAATAATACTGAACATATGGTACATCCTCACCTGGAAAATGTTTTTTTAGCCTGGTCGGCACCTGATGTCAAAAAAGAAAGTAGACTCAGGAGGAGTTCAGAGAGGATGATAAGAATGATTAGAGGCATTGACAAATTGTCTTTGGATTAAAGTATGAAAAAGATTGGGACTGTTTACCTTACAGTACAATGATGAAGGTATACAAAATAAAAAAATTGTACAAAAAGGTAAATTGGGAACTATCATTCCTATGTTCCTAATAAACAACAAAGAACATTCAAAGAAATTGAAATGTCCAGTTCTAAACTGATTGTCACAGGATAATATTCTGGCCAAAAGCTTAGCAAGATTCAGAGCAGATTAGTCACTTATCTGGATAACAAGACTATCCATCATTATTATAAGCTTAAAACATATACAAGAGTTTCTGAAGGGGTACAGCTCTCTAGCTTTAGAGCATAAAGCAACCTGTAACTAATGGAAGAGAGGGGATTCAGAAGAAACCTTCCTTGGTGGGAGGTTATCCCATAAATACATACTGCAAGGTTTCCTGCATGTTTCTGATGATGCCTCTGGCACCCGTAACTATTACTGAGAGGATACTGGACTAAATGGATCATTGGTTTGAGCCAGTATGGCAATTCCTACATTTCTTTGTGCAAACATACTATATGATATCCATATGTATATTCAAACGAACTGAAGAACTCTTCTATCGTGTTCTTGCAGAAATTCAAGCTGCCAGTGTAGACAGCTGGCAAGTTTTTCCGCATAAGCAGCTACTTTTGTGGAAAAACTTGCCAGTCTAGACACAGTCTCCCTGCCCCCACATTGCCACTGATGGAGAAAGAAGGAAAGAAAGTGTGTTTTACATCAACTGGCTCTAGATCTTCCACACACTTATGTGGAGAGAGAGACTCCGCAGCAGACACCAACTCAAAGTACCAGTCTCCAGTATGCCCTTCTTCTTTCTCTTTCTCTGCATTAGGTTCACATTGTTGTAATGCTATGAACTTAGACGAAACAAAAAACAGGACTATGTAGCACTTTAAAGACTAACAAGATGGTTTAATAGGTGATGAGCTTTCGTGGGCCAGACCCACTTTCTCAGATCAAATAGTGAAAGAAAATTGTCACAACCATCTATACCAAAGGACACAATTAAAAAAATGAACACATATGAAAAGGACAAATCACATTTCAGAACAGAAGGGGAAGGGGGGGGGGAGGTAAATGTCTGTGAGCTAATGATATTAGAGGTGATAATTGGGGAAGCTATCTTTGTAATGGGTAAGATAATTAGCGTCTTTATTCAAACTTGAGTGTAAAGTGTCGAATTTAAGCATGAACAACAGTTCAGAGGATTCTCTTTCAAGTGAAGTCTTAAAAGGTCTTTTAAGCAGGATGCAGGTAATCAAGTAGTTTCTCTTTGAAGTCTGTTCTTGAAGTTTTTTTGTTGCAGGATGGCTACCTTTAAATCTGCTACTGTGTGTCCAATGAAATTGAAGTGTTCTACAGGTTTTTGTATATTACCATTCCTGATATCCAGGGCTCGACAAATAATACAATCTACTCGCCCGTGGCAAGTAGACTGCAACCCGGAAGAGCCGGGTTTGGACGATCTGCACATGCGCAGATCGCCGGACAGCGCGGCTGGAAAGCGGTGCTCACCGCAGTTTAGCGAGCCCTGCTGATATCTGATTTGTGTCCGTTTATTCTTTTACGTAGGGACTGTTGTCCAGTTTGGCCGATGTATATAGCAGAGGGGCATTGCTGGCACATGATGGCGTATATTACATTGGTAGATGTAGAGGTGAATGAACCCATGATGGTGTGGCTGATCTGGTTTGGTCCTGTGATGGTGTCGCTGGTGTAGATATGTAGGCAGAGTTGGCACCGAGGTTTGTTGCAGGGATTGGTTCCTGAGTTACAGTTACTGTGGTGCAGCATACAGTTGCTGATGAGAATTTGCTTCAGGTTGGTGGGCTGTCTGTGGGAGAGAACTGGCCTGCCTCCTAAGGCCTGTGAAAGGGAGGGATCGTTATCCAGGATGGGTTGTAGATCACTGATGATGCATTGGAGAGGTTTTAGCTGTAGACTGTAAGTGGTGGCCAGTGGTGTTCTGTTGGTTTCTTTGTTGGGCTTGTCTTGTAATAGCAGGCTTCTGGGTACACGTCTGGCTCTGTTAATCTATTTCCTCACTTCCTTTGGCTGGTATAGCAGTTTCAAGAATGCTTGGTGAAGATCTTGTAGGTGTTGGTCTCTGTCTAAGGGGTTGGAGCAAATGTGGTTATATCTTAATGCTTGGCTGCAGACAATGGGTGTGGTGTGTCCAGGAGGAAACTGGAGGCATGAAGGTAGGCATAGTGGTCAATAGGTTTTCGGTATAGGGTGGTGTTTATGTGACCATCACTTATTTGCACCATTGTGCTTGGTGCAAATCTGTTAGATAACTTCAGTGTTTCCTTATAACAGTAAAGTTTTCAGATGGGGGATAGGTTTGTTTTTTAAGCATCTGTCCATTTTAGACCTGTACTGATGTGAACAACAACTTCAAAACACTGCAGGTAAGGTTCAATCCAGATAACATTTCAGTGAAATCTTATGGAAACATTATTTATGGAAAACTTTTTTATTTGTTTTGTATTAAAGAAACTATCACAAAAGACAAAAAAAATATACTGAAGCAATAAAGCAGGGGTGGGCAATAAAACAATGGCAGCCCACATTAGTTCCTAGCGGGCCGCCACTGCTATGTTTACCTGCACTTCCGCAGGTATCGGAAGACTGCAGCTCAGGTTGGCTGCAAGTTGACATTTGCAGCCAATGCGAGCAGCGGGAAGTGCTGTGGGCGGGGATGCCGCTTCCCACCACTCACATTGGCTGCGAATGACAATTTGTGGCCAACAAGAGCTGCAATCCTCCAACACCTGTGAAGGTGCAGGTAAACATGGAGGTGGAGGGACTAACCAGCAGGGACTACCCATGCGGACCAGATCCAGCCCTTAGGCTGGAATTTGCCAATCCCTGCAATAAAGCCATGTTCTTCTTGTCAAAACTAGAATTTCAGGCACCTAGTGTATTTTAAGTGTCTGCCTTGCCAGAAATGGAACATGCAAGGGATGCCACCCTGAACTGTGCCCCCCAGTAGTGAAGTCATCTCACTGATGTGCTATGCACTGCTGAATCATCCTCCTGCTTTGTATAGCAGTTAGGAGCATATACCCTGCTGCTTTACTGTCTTCAGTTCTATATTATTCACTCTAAACACCTCAGGAAATAAAAAGCCTCAGCAGAATATAATAAAACGGTCATATACAAAAGCCACAATAAACTTTAAATACCTAAACTTACACCCTACCCAATGTTAAGTCTGGATTTTAAACAATACAGACACAATACTGATCTGAGCTAATGAAGTTGCTTCTATGGAAACCAGAGATCTTGGGTTCACTAGACTTGTTTTTATCGCAAATTGCAATGCTACAGGTTTTAGCCTCCAGATCACTAAATCTAATCTATCCCTGCCAGGAATGAATGAACTTCTGAGCGTTGATTTTTACAGTCTCGCAGCACAGAACTATAAACAAGAGACTACAGCAGTGTGCTCTCACATAACCAGCATTTAAATGTAAAAGTACACACTCCATTAGAGGGTTCAAAATTTACATCCAATACCAGCGATTTTCAAACTTCACTGCACCATTATTCCCTTCTGAAAAAAATTACAGTAAACTTCCGATAATCCGGCACCTTTAGGACCCAGGGGGGGGTGCCGGATTATAAAATATGCCGGACTATCGGAAGGGGGGGGCTAGGCAGCATTTAAATGTAAAAGTACACACTCCATTAGAGGGTTCAAAATTTACATCCAATACCAGCGATTTTCAAACTTCACTGCACCATTATTCCCTTCTGAAAAAAATTACAGTAAACTTCCGATAATCCGGCACCTTTAGGACCCAGGGGGGGGTGCCGGATTATAAAATATGCCGGACTATCGGAAGGGGGGGGCTAGGAGGGGTCTGGGGTGGGGGGGATGCCACCTCAGACCCCTCATAGCCCAACCTTCCGATAGTCCAGCTCTACCCCAGGCGTCCCTGATTCAGCCGCTGCCGGTCAGTTTCAGCAGCAGCTGAATCCGGGGGGCT